ATTCTTCAGGTAACCTCCAGATTTCAACACACTCGAATCAAGCAAAATGATCACAAGCTTTCAATGCATCATTATAGAAATTTGTCAGCATTTTACTGGCCTCACATGGAAGTGACATTAGAGTATATTTTTGAGAAATGAGTGAATTAACACCACTTGCTCATCACATACTTGAGTAAATACTACTTGTGAGACACAGAGTTTACAAAACCTTTTTACGTCCACTGAATCATTGAAGGCAATATTATCTTGTTTCTATGGAGGAGAGAATCGAACTTCAAAATAGTATAAGGGACTTAGCTCTATGGTGACACACTTTGGTAGAGGTGGTGTTGAGACTCCAATACCAGAATCTCAGTTCTAATACCCAAAAGCTGCCACTCTTTCCACTACTCCTTACTGTGTCTTGATACTGTAATGTAACATTTTTAATGTGTTCAAAGTTGATATTTGAGGAGCAGGATGTCCCAATATGAGGAGCACAGCCTCTGGAGTCTTAACCGCAAACCCTGGTTACTGCTTACAGACCAAGTGCGGTCGGTCGCCTGGGTTTTTCCGAAGGGCTAGTCATTTCCACCCTGCTCAATTGTTACAGCACTAGAGAAGAAGCAGGTAAAGCCCATACTTAATGGCTGGTGCCCAGTAGGGTTAACTGTACTTACAGCCATGGGCGTCCTTCAGAAATAGGAGCACCAAAGTTTATAGCTTCCCCTTGGAACAGAAACTAGAAGCTGCCAAAGCAGAAGGGACACCAAGCTCTATGGGGTCCTCATTGTGTTCAAGTGTTAATACAAAATACCTTTTCCTCAATCATTTGGAAGACTTGTCCTGACCTGTAACCAGATTCTTCACCATTGAGAGGCTCATGCCCTTTATCTATGTGATCTCTATCAGTATTAGCAGGAGCCATTATTTCCTGAATAGAGGGTGGAGTCTTTTATCCTGTCTTTAATCTATGTTTTTATTTGTCTTTCCCAGACCTGCTTTTGTCACACACGCCTGGGCTGCCAGGGACTCAAAGAAGCCGGAATTATTGGCTAAGACAGATGCAAGGTTAGGCTCTTGCTACTGATAAGGCCCATCTGATACAGAACACACAAATGTTTGACAACCAGAGATATTATGTGAGAAAACTAAGGAAACTGGAGCTTCCCAGAAAAACAAAATACAAGAAAGCCTCCCCTTTATCTCTGTAGCCCAGGTGGTAGAGACTGGCTTTTGCTACCACGAGGCAAAATAAAACAAGTTTTCCTTTTCTTGAGAGCATGACAGATGTGAATAGCCAGCAGAGAAGATGACTGGTAGTCTTTTCGCTTTTAGATTATTCATAGTAGGTTACTGGGAAGCTTCCCTAACTAGCAGCACTCTTTCCACTCCCTTCAAAGAACTCAACTGACAGGCAAAGGTCTCTAACAAAGGGGCTTGAGAACCTCCTTGGGTGCCCTCCTCCCAGTGTCTACCAGGTTCCTATCCCATCCACCTTGGGCAAGTTCAGTCTAATTTTCTCCTTTTTTGAATCCACAGGTGATTTACTCACTCTCTGTATTCACTATCAAACGTTTATTGAGCACCAACCAAGGACTAGGCACAGGCTCGTGATATAAAGACACACATGCTCCATCCTCAAAAACTCATAGTTTAGGAAGGGGACAGGCAAGTAACTAGGCAATCATAGTAGATTGTGGTCAGCGCTGTGACATGTGGGGTGGGGGTGACGCTAGAAGGTGGGAATGAAGAAGAAGAGATCCTACTAGAATGTGGAGGAGGGGGATCTAGCTCACTTTTGTTGTGGCAGAGGGCAGGCTGGTCGAGGTAGGCTTTCCAGAATGGATGCTACAGAAGCTGTTTATTGAACAGAAGTAGCAGTGAGCCAGGAGATGAGGTAAAGTGTTCCTGACAGAGCATATCCCCAAGGTGGGCCTGCAGCTTGGGGCTCAGGGGGATAGCAACCAGAGCCTCTTACTCTTCAGTGCTAACACCTTTCTTTGGGCAAGAGAGTATAATTCGCATACACCAGGGTCTCCCTTCCAGGGTGTCCCTAGGAAGAAACGTGGTTTGGAAAGCCCAAGAGGTTTAAGGATGTTGGGGCCTTGGGGAAAGGGCTCAGTTTGCATTCTCTAATGCCTAACTGTAAGTTAATGGAATACTTGTGACTATATAATAAATAGAAAAGGCTTTTCATGCAAAGGTCTCCCACTATCTCTGTTCAACCTGCCCTTGAATGAGCCCAAACAGACCTCTCCAAGCCACTGGTGTACAATTCAGGAGCATCACATAGCCATCCTGTGCCCCTCAGCTGGGCCCGTTGGCCAAGAGTTACTTTCTGGATCGTGGGTATTAGCATGGATGGTGCTGGTCAGCTGCTCGGAGACTGAATTGTACTAGTTTTATAGAAAGGATGGTGGTTAGCATTTCCTGGGGAATCGGGATCAGTACCAGGACTTGCCTGAGTTATCCCTTCAAAAAATATTTACAAAATACCTGCTGTGCATCCAGCGCCCGGTTCATTTCGCCTTCTGTCATAGGTCTTAATTTCCAGGTGATCAAGAGGTTTATCTGTTTTGCTACCCTCTTCTACAGAAGTCTATTTCCCAGGCAGGAGAGTAGAACTTAAAACGTACAACATATCACTAGGACAACATGCTGTCCTTAAATGTAGGCAGACATCTAAGCCAGAGTCAGGAGGCCACGGGGTTGGACTTGGGGGTGGACGATCTCCAAGATTATTTCAAGCTCTAACTTTCTCTGAGTCTGAATCATCTTCAGTTTTTTTTTGTCTTTGTTTTAAATTTCATTTGATTTAAGGCCCACCACTTGGTTTCCTGAGCTGGTTGACTAGGGTGAGATTTAACCTGAAACTATAAACAGAATTTTTCTCCATACAAAGCAAAGGGCCCCAAGAAGGAATAAACAGAGTATTCTCTGCTCACTTGTTATTCATACCAGCCGTCTTGTCAGACGGAGCTGAAAATCACAGAAAACAGAGATTTTATTCTGAGATTGCAGATGCACAATGCCAAATAACCAAGCGAAACATTTCAACTCAATACCCAATTTTTTCCTCGCAACCACATACTCAGTATCTCAGAGAAGTATATGGGTTTGGAACTGTGACTGGAGCTAAATCCACTATCACTGGCACTGCAGCCATCTGGTTGAAAATAATCTACACACACCCTGGAAGCTTCGCAAGTCCTGGAGCCAGCACTGCTCCTTCCAAATGATGATGCTAGTCAAAGGGCCCCTTAGCTGCTACAAAATCCCATGACCAGAAAAACTCCTCTTGCAGATTAGTAACAGGGCTCACCTGGACAGTAAGTTTCTCCAATTCCTCTATGGTCCCCACCACTCATTTACAAAAGCCTCCACTTTTGGTTATGGTCGCTTCAAGTCACACCACTAAAGCTGTGGTTGCGCTGCTTGTTACAATAGTTTGAAAAGTACTAAACATCAGCTCTGCTCCTCAGTGTGTTAGGCCCAGAGGAAAGCAAAGTCCTACTGTTCTGCCTCAATGAGCACAAAGAAGTCACAGCATCACTGCCGTTCTTCAGCTACTCCCTGGCTGCATGAACTTTCCCAGCCTGCGATAAAGCAACTGAGAAGAGCACAGACACCGGGAGAATCTGATACAAGGCTTCACAAAATCAACGAAGAGGGTCTTAGAAAGTCTGGACAGAGACAGAGCCATTTGGACAGAGGTTAGCTATCATTTACTCCTGACAAGATCTAGAGGTTTGAGGCTGGTGTCTCAGAACATTTTAGGGAGAATAAAGTGCTGGATAGGACGGAACTCTTTCTTTCAGTACTCACTGCATCCCTGCTGGTGCCCCGAGTCTGACTCTGCGCTCACAGGAAGCGCGCACCCCGCCGCTCACTCCGATCGTCATATATTGATTCTGGACAAGTCGGTGTCCATATCCCGGCATGAGTCTTCCTGCTTACAGGCAAAAATTGCTAGGAAGGCTTCCTGCGGGAACTCCACTGAACGGCTGTATTTACAGAATTTCTTCACGGGATTGTAAATGTACACACAAGCCTAATTTTTTTTCTGTCATCAAGTAGCTGCAGGAGACCACCCATTATTATTCCAACTTGGCCACCAAATAAATCATCCTTACCACACACTTCTTTGCCCTTGAGATTGTCATTAGTTACCTGGGAGCTCAGCATGTTTTCCTCGCCCACCCCCCCGCCCCACCCCCGCTCTCCCACCCTGTGAGGTTAAGAAAATAAAGATAATAACAGTGAAAATCTAGAGAGACTTGATGTGCTTCCTGCAGAGTGCTTTAGGAATAAAAGACATTGATGTTACTTTTTTTTTTTTTCTCTGTAATTGAAAACTCTTTAAAGAGGACCTCACATTTGCACACCGGGCAAAAAGCCAGAAGACAAAGCTGTCCAGTGGAGCTGGTGGGAGGAAGGGGGCAATCAGAGGCTTTTCTCTGAAAGTCCCCCCTTTCTCTTTCCCAGCACTTCCAACCTAGTAATGTTCTGGAAATAAGCGACCCTCCCCGCACATTCCCCATCCTCCCGCACATTCCACCCCCCCCCCCAATCCCCAGCCTCAGTTTCTTCGTGGGCTCACTGAGGAAGGCTGCCTAGCCAGACACTGACACTACCCCCCACCCCCACAAGTGTCCTGCCGGCAGCTGATTGTACATTTCTTGCCCGTTAGTCATGAGGTCCACTTATTGTCTATTCAGAGCATTTCTGTATAATTTTTTCGCTTTCCCCTCTACTCTGCAAGCAGAGATTTCTTACCCAAGAAATAGCCCCTCTATTCTCTCTCTTCCCCTGCCCAACTTGCCTGCCCAAGACACTCTTCCAATTAAACACAGATACAAAAAGAAATCTCCCTTTGGGTGCAACTCGAGCTAATCCCCTTTTGCCTGGAGTACAAAGTCTGTCTCTCATTGAGGCATTCCTTCACTAGCCAGCAAGATCTTTAAGAGAGAGGAGAGGAGGCGGCGCTGGACAGGGAGGCACAGAATTCAACCTACCGCCACTCCTCGCCTTCCTTCCCGCCTGAAGAGGATTTTTCGTCAGCTGTTCTTGTAGGACTTCGGCGCCAATATCTCTGCACACCTCCGGCCTCCTTTTTATTTGAAGGCAGGGGGTGGGGTCAGTGGCCCCGAGTGGGCGGGTTTCTCTGCCGCAGGAGGATGCCCAGTGGACGGGGCTATGCGGGAGCCAAACCCGGGCGGGCCTGTTTTTTGTAAAGAGGGGGAGGAAGTTCAGGAATAGAAGCTGCACAGCCCATCTTGGCTTTGGGCCATCCTGATTATTCCCAGTCCTGATGTCATCGAATCACAAGAATTGGGAGTTGGGCTGGACCTTAAGAGTCATCTGTCTTTAAAATCCTAATCTTAATGATGTAAAAGGATCCCTCTAGATTAGCTGGCTGTAAACTTCTGCAAGGAAAAAAAGGTCCTTACAATTCCAAAGAAATACACACTAAGGAGGCTGACGGGATTTTCTGGAACCTCTGGACACAGCCGTTGAAAGGACTGGACAGATGGACCAGCTGCCCTCCAGGAAGGGGAAACGTCAGGGCTGGAGCATTTGTGGGGACGCTGGGACATTTAGGGGCAGGCTGGGCGCACCTGCAGTTGGAAAGTGTCCCTGCCTGAAATCTGCCTCATTGGGCACCTGTGCTGCCACTCCCCAGTTTTGCAATCACGGAGAAAATCATTTCACCTCTCTGTAAAGTGAACCAGGGCTCACTGAGGTCCTTTCAGCCCCAGCATTTCCTGAATGGGACTGTAGAATAAAGGGGGTGCGGGTGCTGAGCCTGAAATTCTGTCATTACTATCCCTCCCGAAAATCAATGGAAGCTTTTCAGCGTGCAAGGGTTTGCTCTTAAATGTAAATGCTCCTGGAAACAGACAACCTGTTTGACTTAACACCTTACAGATGACTAATGAAAACAGCACTGTGTAGGGGGAAGGTTTAGGCTTGAATCAGCTCTACCAGGAATGAGAGAAGTATGACCTTAGCTTTTATTGGCCTTCAGTACACCTTTTCAGTTATACTGAAACTTTGCACCTGCAGGGTACATGCAAATTAGAACGATGTGTATAAGATCCCTGGCTCATTACAGGGCTCAGTAAGTGGTATGCGTTATTATTGGTTGATGTCTGGCTGAGACAAGGCTTGGTGAGAGTGGGAGAGGAGAGAGAGAATACCAGGAGAAGGCACAGATGGAGAGCAGAGGAAATTGTGGGATAATGAGCTATCCTAGGGAGGCCAGATTTCATATATTCTGATCCTAAATATACTTATATTTGCACAACAACAGGAGCTGATTTTGAGGTTGGAAAATAAGGCAGTTGTAGCCAAAGTCAAACTGTTTTTTTCATATTTTTATCAAGACATAATTCTGCCAATAACCATTATTAGAAAAAAAAGAAGTAAAGGACCAGTGAGCTCCAGAGCTCTGGAGAAAGGACATTAGATAAGGTGCAGCAGAGGGTGGCCCTGTCTCACGGAGACGTGTCTGTTTTCCGGTGGCACGGTTTGCCATGATGAAGGGCAAGGCCTTTTTCTGGCGTGCTGGTTCAGCAGGAGAGAAGGGGTGGTGGTAACGAAATTTTAACTTGAACTCCTGGAGAGGATGATTTGCTCCTGAGTGATCGCCTTTAAAGCCTCCGATCCCTCAGAGACTGCAGTCTGGGTATTGGCCCTAAAGCCTGGCGGCGGTGGGTGTGAGGTGGGGGGTGCTTCCAGACGAGGAGAATCCTTCCCCCTCCCCACCTGGCTGGCCACCTACAATTCCCCCTTTAGGAACTCATTCCCTTAGATTTTTAGCCCCTAGTTAAAATGCAAATTTGATCAGTTAACCTTCAAAGTAGTCTCTGGTGAGAGGGGCTATTTGTTGCCCCAAGGTCTGTGTTTGGTGCAGGGAGGCCTGGGGTCTTAGAGAAAGAGAAGGGTGGACCTAGAGGAGGAGACTGAGAGGAGAGAGCTTGCAGGTCGTCAGCAGGTGCCCCTGAGCTTTGCTGAAATACTTCCAAATGACTCATGTTGGTTCATGCCCTGGTCCTACGCACTGGAACCTCTGTGTTCCTTCCTAATAAATGTGAAATTGTTTTCCTTTCATGGACTCAGGATTCTCGGGAAGCCTGAGAAGGAGGAGGTACGTGTAGGGAGGTTGACAGTAACAATGGGGGCCTTGATTTTAGTCAAGGGATTGCTGTGGGCATGAAAATGAAAATAAATCTTGGTGAAATCACATCCTGGGAAAATTGTATCAAAGCCTTTTGCTTTCAAGGAAGAGAAATAAAACCCAGGCCCAGATAACACAGAGACAAAGTGGGCACAGGGAAACTGGAAGAAAGCGTTCTCACAGAGCTGTCCCAGTCTGCCACTGTTCCTGAGGTGGGGTCTCTCCCCCACAGGGTGGGCAGGGTTGCGTGAGTCATCAGCGGGGGCACGTTATCACCCAGTGGGCACAGGGATGGGGCAGGGGGAACAAGGACGACACTGAGACCCTATCAGCTGAGTAAGAAATGATGTGATGTTTGTGGAAACTCAAGCAAAGAGAGACAGATGAGAGGTTTATGACAAAGCAATTTGGGAGCAGAAGACAGACATTTTGTGTACAGACTCAGAAGGCTTAATTTTGACAGCCATCTGGTTCTTCAGAGACTGGGGTAAAGAGCACAGTGCACTTGAAACTCTGTTATTGTGACCTGCCTTCTTTAGGCCTGGAGGTGACCAGGTTGGTCAGCTGCACCGGTGACCTGAATTCTACACAAACACCGAGAAACTTCATTTCTTATGTTTTTTAGGCCAAGTGCCTGGGAAGTACCCTTAAATATGGTTGTTCTTATTAAGGATCATTTGCCAGACTGTACGGGAGCTCTTTGTACTACTCTTGCGACTCTTCTGTAAACTTGAAATGATTTCACAATAAAAGGTAAAAACTGGGTTATTCTCTTGGGATAGTAATCTTACTTCTGAGTATTAAGCCCAAGGAAATAAAAATTTTAAATTCCCATACAAGGAAAGGATATTTATAAAACATTATTTTGACTATCTAAAGACTGAAAATAACATATATCCCAAAGTAGGGGTTAGTACTATACAATGCAATATTGTGTAGCTATTCTGATGATTGATAATATAATTATATAAAATATCAAAATCGATCATAAATTCCTTTACCCAAAGAAGTAGAAAACAAATTTGTATATGTACTGTCATATAAACTATGTGATATTATATATACAATATACATATAATTGAAAGAGAAAAGCAGGTGTTGGAGTGCTGTAATTTTGGGTGCATTTTTCCGGTCCCTTTCCTGACACTTTTAAATTGCGTTAATAAAGAGAGATTTACGGACTCCAGGCTGGATCTGGGCGAGTCTAAGTTTCTCCAGCAGTTTCTCTTTGGCACAGGCTCTGAAAAGACAGGCTTGTCCCTGACAGCATGTCAGAAGGTTGGGCATTTTCCTTAACCTTCCACAGGTTTCCCTGAATTTATTCAAATTCTTCTTGAATACATCTCATTTCAGTTCTTTCATGGAGGGAACTGAGTTTATCAGAGTGCTCCCCCCAGTTCTCTTAAGCAGAACTTCCTGCCTTTGGGCCTAAAACTGCTCCCTTGAGCTTTGAGGCAGGACGCCTGGTTTCAATCTCCCAGGAGTAAATAAGCTCAGTTCACCTGCGCTCACTCCCAGGCGAGCTGTGCAGTTGGTGGAGAGCGACTGTGGCTGTAAATCAGGAAGTCTGCCCTTTTTTCTCCGAAATTAGTTGCAGGACCATGGGCCAGTTCGCCTTGTGCTTTAGCTTCCTTGTGTTTCAGAGGATTATTATTTGGGTCAAAAGGGAAAGAAAGTGCTTTGAGATAAATGACATATTATTGGTCATTTAATAGCTGTGTCAGAAGGTGTTTGTTTGTTTGTTTTTAGCTTTCTCCCTTTCCTCTATCTATTCTTAAATGGAAAGCCCTTGGAGGGGGAAAAGCTCTCACTCTTTTTTTAGAGCTGCCCAAAGTGACCTGAAGGAGCATCTATCCCAGATTTTTTTCAAGCTCTCTTCCAAGCAGTATCAGTGTCACACATGTGGCGGGGAGAGGGAGGAAATCAATGCTAATAATATTTTTGCTTTTAAAAACATTACCACACTAAATGCAAAGTGACCATGGGGGCAACTGCGGCAGGAGAAGGGAAGGGTGGGTTTATGGGAAGCTGTACTTTCTGCTCAGTTTTCTGTAAACCTAAAACTTCTCTAAAAAAATGTCTATCGGTTAAACAATATTTATTTGAAAATGCAAAATACGGCCATTTCTGATATAAAATATTATAATCTATTTATGCACACATATTGCACATTGGCATCTAACTTTTATGGAGCTTGGTTCAGAGATCAGCTGGTCTGCGAAACCATCCATTCTCATCAACTGATATTCAGGTGCATCTGTTCTCATCAATATCTACAGGTATTCTATCAGCACCTTATGATTTCAAGGGTGTCGGTGGTCAATTAAGTTTAGGAAAACTGAGTTCTTCTAGTCCCTTAAGTTTAAACTTGAGGACACTAAGAAGTGACTGCTCCAAGTCACAGTGTAGGTGCTGCTAGGACACCACCCTGGTGTCCTCTGCTTCTGTAAGCGCTTGTCTGCTGTACCTAGGGCTTTCACACCTGGTAGCCTCAGGTGAAATGCTTGATTGATTCCTTTCAGCCTTTCTGGTCTTTCCTTTTTTCTTTTAAAATAATGACAGCAGCAATAACCAAAACCCAGCGGACCCAAACCACCCATTGAGTTATGCCCTCACGCTGACCCCAAAGCGCTAGGTCCTCACTGTGTCCAGAGCAGGCTCCATGGAGAGAGCCACTAAAGCCCCCCTCATCTCGACAATGAGATCATCCTGATAGGGGAGGCGGATTCTAAGTGCGAGACAACTTACGTACGAAAAAGAGGCTCTCGCGTCAGTTCTGGTTGTCAGCTGGGGAACTGCCCATATTCGGGGTGGTAGGAACATATTGTTTACGTTGGACCTACTTTCCCACTTTAGTGTCACTGGACTCCCTGCTCCAGAGGCCTTCTTCCTGAGT